GAATAAAAATGTCTACAAAATGAGGGGTTGAATTAAAACATTAAAACCTGAAGTAGTAAATAAATTTCCATGAACAGTTTACAATGTACACTTTAGTAGTAATTTTCCAATATTCCTTGCCAGAGTCCTTGCATACAGTTGCGGTGTAAACAGTAATATAAATTAATACTTGCGACGAATCATGTGCATTATTAATAATTGAGTTTGTTTTCTATCTGTAAGCCCAATGTAGCGGAGCCCGCACTGCTAGACAGCCACCAAATACGCTTCGACGAAGTGGACATTCTGCACCAATCTGAAAGATACTACCCGAAACTCACCAGAAGAGCCATCGAAATATTTAAACACCAAAACAACTTTAACAGAAAAGAAGAAATTACGGCACTCAATCCAGATTGGAAGCGCGTTTTGCGCCAAACAGCATGTGCGCCGAAGCGTTTGAACCCCCACCCATCCCCCACGCATGAGCACACACGGCTGGGCTGCATAAATACGACGGGGAATCCAGCAGTTGACACAGTCTTAGTCGGAAAGCACGGGAGATCACTTCGCCCACTGCCTCATCGCCTTTGATAATGTCCACCGCAGTTGTGGACGAAACGTTAGAAAGAAATTCCCATGGACCACGGCTTCAAAGCCTGCAAAATATTCCTAAATGTAACACAGAAAGTACTGGGAGGAGATACCGCAAAGCCGTTGGTGGGACCTCCACAACCAGTACGTAAAAATGAACTGCTAGGTCTCAGCAGGCAAAAAATAAGGAGGATAATGGCCTTTTAACAGGACACGCCCCCCTGCAAAACACCTCTTCAGGATGGGACTGAGCGATCAACCGACCTGCAGGAGTTGCAAATTATAGGACGAAACTACTCTGCATGTTATGTGTCACTGCACGTCATATGCAACAGGTAGGCGAAGACTCCTGGGAGGGGATGAAATTCCACCAGACCAGATCATGCGAACTCCCCTCAAGATTCTTCTGGAGTTCATTGAATATACAGGCATAATGAGGGAGTAAAATTACGAGGGCACAATTGGACAGAAATGACCGCGGTGCGAGGCCAAACACCACCTCGGCGATGAGGAAAGGGTTTTAGTGGGCAGACAGCTTAGCTGGAGTCCCACACAATCCAGAGCGACAGACCACCAGCTCTGGGAGTGCATAAAAGAGCATAATCTTGCAGAAAATCTTGTGCATTATTACCTTTGCCGCCAGTCGGTTGTCCGCCTGGATTCTGAGGCTTGGATTGTGGATGTTGTTGGTGATGTTGCTGCTGGAACTGCCGACTGCCTTCCTGTTGGCTCTTGATCACTGAGGGCAAGCCGCTCAAGGGCGGCGTGAAGCCGCCCCTTTTGTATTCCAGATCCATTGGCATCGGCCGTCTGACTGGCGCTTCCAGACTCTGCTGAAACTTCTGGGTGATGCTCTGTGTGATGACGTCTTTGATCAGTAGTCCTTTGCCTGGCAGAATGGGCGGCGAATTCGACTCGCTGGTTACAGGTGGGGAGACCAGGCGACTGGACGAGTCCAAGGAATTGCTTCTGCTGAAAAGGTTGTCGCAACCATTTTTACTGGTCGCGGACGTCGTCGGTCGGTAGGACGGAATTTTAAGTATCACATTCGATGGGGATTCTACGGGTTCCTGGTCTGCTTCGGATGGCTTTTCCACCTGCATCAACATGAAATCAACATTTTGCCCGCTGGCCTTCCGGTGCTGCCAACATACTTTCGTGATCACTGAGTTCGAAGGACTAGGTCTAGAAAGTCTCTCACTATCACCATTGTTGTTCTGCATTTTGAGATGTTCTTCCACTATTAGCCGTTTGGCTAATTCGGGAATGATGTGGTTTAATACTGAGCCGTCTGGCGGCTTCTGGTTCGCCAGGAGATTATGCGACGCAATCAGAGCCTGCAAACAGATCTGGTAAAACCTATTGCATAAATTTGGGTGCATCGCTTGCGGGTTAGTCTGCGTTAGTTCTTTTGCAAGCATCTGAATAAATACATAAATGCCACAAAACCCAAGCTTGTTGCGGCGATTAATTGAAACATGGTGGGGCATTCTTACATTTCGTACCTGGAGGTACTGAATGACCTCACTTTGCTCCAAAGGTGACGATCGAGCCTCTTGGCCTTCTTTCGCCTTTTGAAGGAAATGCTTGATTGCTTCGGGTGGATGCTCCATGCCGGAGAACCGCAGAATATCGGTCATCGAAAGTAGCGGCGCCTGAAACAGCAAAACACTCACATAGCAAAAAACGCTCCATTTGATGAATGATGAGGGCGTTGTTCACCTGCAACGCTTTTTCGACCTCCTTCTCCTCCTCGGTGCCGGATAGTTCTCTGTCGTCGTCCAACGCTTCATCTTCGTCCAGCTTGAGAGGCGTCGAACTGTTCAGATGGGACTCGCGCTCCCGTTCCAAGGCCATTTTGTACACTTTGTTCCTTAAAGTGGAACGGGGAATTCCGTAGATCACGGCTGCTCGTCGCGTGCCTAATTTTCCAGACTGGATATCTCTTAGAGCCGCCTGCAACTCATCTTCGGTGTAAGTTCTCCTGCCTGCTACCGCAGACATTCGAGGCTTGGCTCTAAAATCAGAACTGAAATTACAGGCCAGCGTGAGTATTTTTCGATATTTCCAATCCCAACTAAATTAAATGCAGCTGTAGAACAACATAAAATACAACTGTAAAAATCGCCAAGTGAAGGGTTTCGCGTTGAGGTCAATGAAAGGGTTTTTGATGTAAAGTTGCCCATTTGGGGCAAAACTGGCAAATCCCCGTTTGCTTCTTCTGCAGAGTGTGAGCTTCACGAAAACGAATGACTATTGAGCAATTTGAGCTTTTCTCGTTTAAAATTATGCGTTCAGTGACTAGAAACCCGTTCTTGTACGGTTACGCCACTGCTCATGAACATTTTATTCCAATCGTGAAATTGTTAGTTTGGATTTGTCGATATCAATTCTCTCACAGAGGCAAAATTTGCAAAGTGGGACAAGGTCAGGATTTTGCATTATCTTGATACTTCGTACAAAGGAATTATTATGTTGTGCATGGTATTGAGGCGGAATTAACGTGAAGCCTTCTACATATACAGGGCGAATCAGCTTACAATCGCAAGACTTCAACCCTTGATAAACAACTCAACTTTAAAACATCTGGAAAATGCTTCAGTTTTAGGAAACGCACCCTTTTTGCTGTGAAAAAACCAACAAAACATTCCCAGCTGCATTTTCATTTATCTCCTAAAATCCGTTTTTGCATTTATTCGATGCAACTAGATAAAGTTATCCGGAGAGAAATATACCCGGAATTGAATCCACTGATTCATTAAATGAGCTGATAAGCACTCCAATCCATTCTTGTTTCAAAACAATTATTTAAAAACTCCTGTTAATTATCAACGCTTATCAGTCAAAAACTGCTCAAATAGCATGCGATACGGCGAGTTTACTGACCTATGATAAAGGCAAAACATTGGATAAGGTTAATGAAACGGGGAGTGTTTAGCCAACAAAATTTGGGTTGGGAACCTTTATTGCCACGATAACATTTGGACCTCACGTTTGTTTAATATTCGCGTGCGGATTATGCATAAAACTTTTTGGAAAATCACTCCTCTAAACCGAGTTTGATTGGAAACATTGTCGTACTTTGTCCTCGAAGGCTGACATAGAAAAGTTTATTCCCAGCCTTGATAAGTAGACATCAACATTAGCAAACCGTTTTATCGGTTGTTGATACCGATCTACCTCCAGTCGCGAGTCGGTGCCATTGAATCTTTGCTCAAACAGTAGAAACTTTACGATACGACTGCACTATTCGGATATCTTTAGTGCTAATTAAGTACTGCGTTAAAGCAACAGGTGCTAAACACATGCTGCATCGTTTCTTGTCATTTTATTATACAGTCTGATTGAGATTTAAACACGCCCCAAAAGTATTTAGTGTCTACCAATTAATGTACCTATTAACATAGATTTTTGCTTCCACAGTTGCCTGCTTCCTGCGGGCACATTAATCACTTTCCTCCCGTAAAGTCGTTTTCTGAGGTCGCTCGCACACAAAATAAAAAATCCATTTGCTTCCACAAACTACCGCTTTAAAAAAAAATCGAAAACAACAATAGCTACGTAAATTTTATAATAAGAATCAACCACCAGACCAGATGTACCTACACTGGAATTGACCGTCTGCGAATAAAAGCCCAGAAGTTGCGGTCGAATTGTCTAAACTTGCTGCTGTTGATAAATTAACATGAATCACTGGATTTGGGGAAAAACATGGGGTTTTAAAACCTCAATATGAAACATACCGACAAAAGAATGCCAGTAGCTGATAATATTCGTATTTATTAAAGAATCCGCAGGTTCTTAACGCACAACACAAGAAGAGAAACTGTGTGACAAAACTCAATTTTTCATGGAGGGATGATGGTTGTTTTGATCGGTCACGATCTTTACCGACGATTTCTGTCTTATTATTGACCCAAACACCTTATAAATGCATATTTGTGACCTTTTTACGTCGAAAGGAATCGATTGAGTTCAACAAACACGCATGTAAAATTTTGATGTTTGGTCAAAATTTCCTCAAAATGTCTAAATTTTACAGCATTTTCATCTCCCGGACGCGAGGAATGCATCAAACTCATTGAAAGACATCTTGAAGAAGGCTTCAGGTCCGAAATAATAAACCTTTTCGGCACATTTTAAGCGTTTTTTGAGCCTCGCGATCTTTAGCCGACGATTTCTTCGTTACTATTGACTCAAACACTTTATAAATGCATATTTGTGACCTTTTTACGTCCAAAGGAATCGATTGAGCTGCAAAAACACGCATGTGAAATTTTGGTTTTTGGTCGAAATTTTTCCAAGGATGGGGGTCGATTTTTCGAAAAAATGAAAATGTTCTCAAAATGTCTTAAATTTCACATCATTTTCAAAACACGGACGCGAGGACCGCATCGAACTCATTGAAAAACACGCTAGAAGTTTAAAATCCGAAATAATAGACATTTTCGGCACATTTAAAGCGTTTTTTGAGCGTTCGCGATCTTTAGCCGACGACTTCTTCGTTACTATTGACTCAAACACTTCATAAATGCATATTTGTGACCTTTTTACGTCGAAAGGAATCGATTGAGCTCAAAAAACAAGCATGTGAAATTTTGATTTTTGGCCAAAATTTTTCCAAGGGTGGGGATCGATTTTTTGAAAAAATTAAAATGTTCTCAAAATGTCTTAAATTTTACATAATTTTCATCTCACGAACGCGAGCAATGCATCGAACTGATTGCAAAACATGGTAGAAGTTTCAGATTCGAAATAATAGACATTTTCCGCACATTTTAAGCGTTTTTTGAGCTTTCACGATCTTTATCCGACGATTTCGTCCGTATTATTGACTCAAACATTTTATAAATGCATATTTGTGACCTTTTTACGTCGAAAGGAATCGATTGAGCTCAAAAAACACGCAAGTGAAATTTTGATTTTTGGTCGAAATTTTTCCAAGTGAGGGTCGATTTTTTGAAAAAATGAAAATTTTCTCAAAATGTCTTAAATTTTACATCATTTTCATCTCACGGACGCGAGCAATGCATCGAACTGATTGAAAAACATGGTAGAAGTTTCAGATCMGAAATAATAGACATTTTCGGCACATTTTAAGCGTTTTTTGAGCGTTCGCGATCTTTACCGAAGATTTTTTCCTTATTATTGACTCAAACACTTTATTACTGCAGATTTCTGACCTTTTTACGTCGAAAGGAATCGATTGAGCTCAAAAAACACGCATGTGAAATTTTGATTATTGGTTGAAATTTTCCCAAGAGTGGGTGTCGATTTTTTGAGAAAATTAAAATTTTCTCAAAATGTCTTAAATTTTACATCATTTTCATCTCACGGACGCGAGCAATGCATCGAATTCATTGAAAAACATGGTAGAACTTTCGGATCCGACATTTTCGGCACATTTTAAACGTGTTTTGAGCTTCGCGATCGTTAGCGAACGATTTCTTCCTTATTATTGACTCAAACACCTTATAAATGCTTATTTGTGTCCTTTTTACGTCGAAAGGAATCGATTGAGCTCAAAAAACAGGCATGTAAAATTTTTATTTTTGGTCGAAAGAATCAAGTCAATATGAAACATCCCGACAAAAGAATGCCAGTAGTTCATAATATTCGTATCTAATAAACAATCCGCAGGTTCTAAACGTACAACGCAAGAAGAGAAACTTTATTGCAAATCTCAATTTTTCTTGGAGAGATGATTGTTCCTGAGCCACTCATCAACTGGGTTTAGCCTGAAAATAACACAAAATAAATTTCGGGAGTGTTATTCTAAGGCCAACCGTGTTGATGAGAGCTAACAGTTTTATTGTTCTTTAATCATTGACTTGTTTACTCGCCATATTTTTAATTTATCCAAACTTTTCAATAATTTGACCCATTCAAACTTGTTCGAGACTTCCAAATTCGAAATCTCGATTCTCGATCGAAAGTTCGATTTTTCTACAAAAAAAAACAATTTGGTTCCAAAGCACATTTCTCTTTGGCAGGTATTTAAAATTTCAAATAGCCAAAGCTTTCAACTATTTAAAAAGTGCGTTGCAAATATGTATGTTGTAATAGCGCTAGTTAATAGAATATCGATTTAATAATATCTGCCCTGATTGGTTTTACATTTGTACATTTCGTCCCAAGTGTTCATAATCGTGTATTAATCAATGTAAATTTCATATATTAATAGCGTTTATAAAAGTGGCGCATACTGGTTCGTATAAACGTTCAAGTTTGCCATCGTCTATTCGCGTTCTGTTTCTCGCTTTCAACTTGACCTGGATTTTTGTTGGCACGGTCTTCGTCTTCAGTTATGTATTTACGAATGTTGGCTATTCGATGCGGGTTGTTTGCCCGATTCAAACTGATGCCTTACAAGCGAAACTAGACATGTTTGCGCATTAATTTAAAAAATTTCTGATAGTCTAATTCAATATGTGTTGATTGCAACTACAACAGCCGCTCCTTATGCTTGTACATAAATATAATGATTAATAACGTAAATAATAACGTGGAACTTGGCTATTGTTCGCTTGATTCAAGGAAAATCCAATTATTATCAGTCGAACTTCCGGCGTATTTTTACACATTTTGCCGTTACACAAATATCAGATGACTCTGAGCCATCGTTTTCAGACATAAAAATGCGAAAATTCCGAGAAAGCAAATAAATTGACTAAAGAGCCTTACAAATAAAGTACACTGATAAGAAAAGTTTGTGACCGATAAATTAAGGATTATCCCAGCGAAAGAAGGCATTTTTCACCGTTTTAACATGTTTTCATGGCTTGTTATTGACCCCTTTTAGATTAAGAGTACCCGCCGAGTTCATTTAACTCTGTGCGATGTGTTTTTTTGCCCAAGTGCACAGAGAAATCTAATTTTATCACAATGGTTTATTTCATAGTACTTTACCACTGGCTGATAGAGTTTTGTTTATTTGTCACGTTCTTTGGTACGACTGGAATTCTAGAGGGGAACACTTACGATGATTGATCACATCCGAGATTTTGCTATTGTTTTTCGTCTTTTATTTACTGCTCATAATCATGCTATATTTTTCGCTGTTTATCAACCTTGTGAGTTACAGCTTTAACTGCAGTTAAATGACCTACCGCGAGATGACGAAAGGCCTTTAAATAAATAGCAAATCATTTGTTCTTTTGAACGCTTCATTGTAACATTGGTGGACAATTCCAGAAATTATTTTTATAACAAAAATCATATAATAGAGCACTTAAAGCCATAACCGTTTGTGACAAATATTTCGCTCGTGTTCACGCTGGTTCATTTTCGTATTACTCTGGAAAGATTCGAGATAAATGGGGCAATAAATGCGAAATATCAAGACGATATGACTCCATTTTCTGGAAATGGTATTTTTACGACTTATTTTAGCACATACACCGAATATTATAAAGGAAAAATGTGTTATTCTGCCAGTGTTATTGCAACCCTTTTTCGTATAAATTTCGGATAGCCTGCAAGTAACATTTATAATTTACTTAACTGTGACTCTTGAGAGCGCCTGAAGATGGTATTTAAGCTTAAGGGCCAATAACTCTCTGCAATTCTGCCTTTCGGCTCCGGATCTCGTACTTTAAAACCAACCGACTTGTCTTAAGGTTTTTCTTTTCTATTTTGGTGTTTTCGTGCTTTTGGGAAATTTGAGTTACTTTTCCGAGTAACTAGTTGATGTCCTAATTGAAATAAGTTCCTTGCTTTTAATGCGTTCGTTTTGAAATTATTAGAGCAATCGTGAGGAGCTTCCGTACAATTTGAAATTTTAGCCAAAAGTCTTCACCCTGCGGTTATCGAAAGGTTAAAGCTATAGAGCTTTCCTATTAAGCTGGTTTATAATGTGTCGCCGATATATGGATAAGCCCTTGGAAGTGTCGAATCGCGAAGCTATTTGAACCATACGTCATCGTTGTAGCTGATACTGTATGCTACCATTACCCATATGCGAAACGATTAGGTTGTTCGGTTTTGATAGGTTTGATGTCGAGAACAGAAATTGACGACGAGAGCATACGCAATACAGGGCTTATCTTTGGGCGTCATTTTCTTCCATCATTGTCGTTTCAGGGCTTGCAGTCAAAAATCGACAAAGCCTTAAACTGGTTTCAGCACAGCCCAGTTCTCCAAACCCATCGCACCAGCAAGAATTTTCGTATCTAGTCCGACCACATAGTTTTTAAATCTGCGATCGTGTTACTGCTTTTACTTCCCGTCACATTGTGCCAATTTAAATTCTGAAGAAATTGCTGCCTTTTAGCATTTTAAATGGTAATTAATATCAATTGTAGATTCGTCTGTTTAGATACCGCTTCCGTTCGAACACATGAAAAATACGTTTCATACAGAGATGGAAACACCGTTATTTTGCCGCATGTAACACGAGTGTTAGCCGGAAAATTGTTTGTCCGACAACAGTTTCAAATATTCCATTTAATAGTTTCTTTTTAAACCTCACCTGAATATCTGTTTCGCTTCCAAAGTCGGCAGTCTAACATTGTTTCCGATGTTCGTTTTCGGTTCAGGCGAACTATTGGAGGCATTGCTCGAACCTTTACTTAAATCCAGCGGCTGTTCGGCTCCGCCATTGTTTTTATCGGCTTCGACAGCCACGGGGGTGGCTGTAGCTGACTGAAACTGTCGCGCAACATTGGCAAGATACCTGGAAATAATAATTATGTAATTAGTTTTGCATTCAACAAAAAATACACAGTTATTTAAAAGACGCTTCAAAATAGTTCTCTGACTCAGAGGTGTGGTAGACAGGACCCAGTTTTGGACCCATTACTCTTCATGAGCAGGGTTAGCGAAGCTCAGCTGAAAAAAATGTGTTTGTCGTACGAAGTTTTAGTAATTTTAGATAAATATTTAAACCGTAATTTTTTCAGACGTTTATATAAGAAAACTGTTCGTATTCAGATGATCATAAAAAAGGAAATTTTGAGGGTCCATTTTTTGAACAAACGAAAATTTTCTCAAAATATCCTAAATTTTACATAATTTTCAACTCACGGACGTGAGGAATGCATCGAGCTAGTTCAAAAATATGGTAGAAGCTTCAGATCCGAAATAATAGATATTTTTGGCACGTTTTAATCGTTTTTTGGGGGTTTACGATCTTTAACTGACGATTTCTTCCTTATTATTGACCCAAACACTTTATAAATTCATATTTGTGAC